CTTACTCAAAAAAGAAAAAAAAAACATTAAAATTCGCACATAAAACAAATTCAGCTAAGCTGGATATATTCAAAAATAATATTTGGTATATTTACTTACTGCCTAGTTTTATTAAAATTTCTATAAATAACAACAATTGAGCTTTGCTGAATAAGGAAAACTCCCATCTGAAATATATTACAATAAATTAAGAGGTTTAAGAGCAAAGCTGAATTTAATTTTTACACACTAAAATTGTTTCTAGAGCCAAAAAATGAGCTGAATCTAAGAAATTTGAAAAATATCAAAAATGTATACACATTTCTTTTCAATTCAGCTAAGCTGAACTATTAAATCACATCACATAACCTATTGTAATGTCCTCCACAAACAATTTTAGGGCAATTATGTTATATTCAGCTTTGCTGAATTAGAAATACGTGCTCAAAAATTAGTAAAATGGATTAAAAAGTCTATATTTATTGATAAAAATATTATTTTGTGCCCATATCCGTATTACAATCACAATTTTTTCCAAATTTTTTAAAATTCACACAGCTGAATTGCTAAATTATGTCACAAAACTATATTTGAAATGCTCTACAAATAATTTTGTGAAGTAAAATTTACAGTAAAATTCAGCTTTGCTAAATTGTAATAAATGACCACTAAATACAGTTATAAATGATTCTACTTATAATTTTCGTTTAAAATGTTATATTCAGTTCAGCTGAATTACAATATACAATCATAAACTAAATTTATAAAATATGCAACATATAATTTTCGGTATAAATGTGATATTCAGCGTTGCCGAATAAAAATAGTGGGAATTAATTTCTGATGCATATTACATAAAAATAAAGTATTTTAACTTCGGCTAAATAAATTCAGCTCAGCTGAATAACAATATGCAACCATTAAATGTCATATTCATCTATGCTGAACTTAAAAAAGTTTATAAATGTAGCTGACATTTTCAAAAGTAATAATTAAATTTAAAAAAAAATCGTTGGAATTAATTTTTGATGCCTATTTCATAAAAAATAAATTATTTTCTCTTAAAATTGTTTTATTCAGCTTTGCTGAATTGCAATAAATGGCCATACATTAAATTTATAAATGATTCTACATATAATTTTCATTAGAAATGTCCTATTCAGCTTTGCTGAATTCCTCAATACGTTTCTAATATGCTGAATTGATTAAAACTGCTAAAATGAATGCTAAAAAAACATTACATTTTTTTTCTGGGACATATTTTTTAAAATAAATTACTTCAGCTTAGTTTGAATTCAACAAATACAAATATTTATTTAAATAGATGAAAATGATAAAATTTTACTTAGCTGAATTGCCTTAAACTGCCATAAATATCAAAATATCATTTATTAAAGGCCTTACACATAATTCTGGGTATAAATGTAATATTCAGCTTTGCTGAATTGGAAAAAAATTGTCCAAAACTTAGCTGAAATTCATTTCATAAAAACGACACTATTTCAGCTATGCAAAATTCGAAAATTAAGAAAAAATATTAAAATATCCAAAAGTACACAATTCAGCTAAGCGGAATTTAAATTAATAACCCAAAAAAAATTTAAACACCAACAGGTCTAATTATGATATTCAGCTTTGCTGAATTTGCCACAAGTTATTCGAACCTTTTCTTTTATTGTGTCAAAAATACATATGAAAATATTCCAAAAAATATACAATTCAGCTTAGCTGAATTCGAATAAATAACCCATAAATACATTTATAAGAGCTGCTACATTAAATTTCCGGTCTAATTTTGATATTCAGGTTTGCTGAATTGGTCACATGTTATACAAACCTTTTATTTTTTGTGTCAAAAATATTTGTGGTAATTTGAAATATATTCTAATAATGCATAATAGCTGCACACATGCTATTTTTAAGACACAAACAGGAAAAGAAACAAAACAAAAAATATTAAAATTCGTTTAACAACAACAAAAAACCCGCTTAAAACCTAACATGTTTTCTTCTCTGGTTCTTCTTCTTATTTTCAAAACCAATTAAAAATCATTGTAGTAAATTGCCATAGTTAGTTTTTTATTTTTATTGTTGCAAACTGAATTGTTTGTTAAATTGTGGTTGTTGTTCGGCTATTTATTATTTGTTTTTGTTTTTCTTTTTCTTATATTGGGTTAAATTGAAATGGATATGGACTTTGGACCACATCATATGTTGTGTGCTTTATATTTTGTTGTTGTTTTTTTCATTTCATTCTGTCTCTTTTTTATTTTTTTATATATTCCCACTCTTGTTACCCCTCATTTTTTATTATTTTTTTATTTCTATTAAAATCCGCCATAAACCTAATCTAGTTATTTTATGAATGAACAACACATAAATAAGGCGATTCCAAACAATAGGCAAGTGGTATGTATGTTTGCCTCGCAAACGTTAGGTTGCGAGTTCGAAACCTGTTCGGGGTAAAAGACGATTTTTCTCTTTCCCAAAATAGGTAATAGAAATGCTTGTTGTTCTTCTTTCTCATCATACAGGTGTGCACTTGAATTTCCGAATATTTGAAATTTTCTTTGTAATTGTGATTGAAGAAAGTTTTTACAATATTCAGGTGCTAGAGTAACGGTTTTCAATTTGCAACTATTGGCTACGCTAACAATTACTAGTCGGTATACTAACGGAAACTATAAAATGAATAACATTTTGAAAACAATTATTTCAAGATATTTTTTCTAATTAAGATTTTTTTTTAAATTCAGCTCAGCTGAATTGCAAAATATTTACAAATAAAAATGTTTTTAATTGAATTTGAAAATCTTTTTCACAATTCAGCAAAGCTGAATATAAAGGAAATTGAATAATTTTCCATAATATTCAATGCAATTCAGCTTAGCTGAATTACAAAAATCTCATTGGGCCCGCTTTTTATTTGATGTAAAAATTATTTAAATATATAAATATTTTATTTTTTAATATATACAATTATCATAAATTCTGTATAATTTATCTTTGACTGTAAAGAAATTTATTAATATCCCTCAAAACTATGCAATTGAGCTTAGCTTAATTACCTAAAAATGCAATGTGGAGCACATTTAGGTGGTGTATAAGTTATTTGGTATCATAAATAATATATTCAGCTTTGCTGAATTTGAAAAAATGTATTCGGACATTAGTTGAAGATTTTAAAACTGCTAAAATAATTATTAAAACAATAATGGGCTTTTTTTTCTTGAGATAATATAGATAGATTCAGCTTAGAATGCATCAAGAAGTGACCAAATATTAAAATATTTAATAATTTGGCAATTCAGCTTAGTTGAATTACAAAGATCACATTCAACCTGTTTTTAATTTGGTTTTAAAAACTATTTGAAGATATAAATATTTTATTCAGCTTTGCTGAATTCTGTTTTTATTGTCAATTTCATAAAATTTGTGAATTCCGGTTTGAACTGTAGGGATATTTTGTTAATATCGTTCATAACTATTCAATTCAGCTTGGCTGAATTACCGAAAAGTGCAATTTGAAGTCATTTTAGGTAGTCTATAGGTTTTTTTGGTGAGAAGAATCTTATATTCAGCTTTGCTGAATTTGAAAAAAAAATTAATTTCTTACATTAGCTGAAGTCTTAAACATTCAAAAAAAATTGATTTTTTTCTTGGATTCATATAGATAGATTCAGTTAAAAATGAGCAAAAAAGTGAAAAAATATTAAAATATTTCAAAATTATTCAATTCAGCTTAGCTGAATTACCAAAATCTCATTGAATCCGCTTTTTATTTGGCGTAAAAAAAATATTTGAAGTTAGATTATAATGAGATAAACTTCATTCAATTTCCCCATATTAAAATATTTCAATATTATTCAATTCAGCTCAGCTGAATTACAAAACTCTCATGGAATCGTTTTTTATTAGGCGTAAAAAATATTTGAAGATATAAATATGCTGAATTTTGTTTCTGATATTAGAAATTTCATACCAGTTTCCAAGAATTCCTCAACATTTGCTGAATTGTGTTAAAAATTTATTTTTCGCTTGAATTTAATTTCGAAAATGTGTTTTTTTTTCCTTCTTAATCACATGTTTGCCATACCCCCCAATCGTGTGCCTGCTAATGAATGACTAGTTGAAAATATTTAATCTCAAATATTTCAAACGCCTGACATTTCAAATGGATAAGATTTAAAATTCTGTTAAAAAGAAAGGGGTTATAGAAAAAAAAAAAAATAAATAAAAAATCAATTTATTTAAATGATTAATTTGAATTCTGCTGGCATTTTTTATTATTTATTTTAATTAAAGAAATTGATTTGGAAAAAAATATGAATGTTTAATTATTAATAAAACTGGGTATACGGATTACGTCAACTGGTTTGTCTGGCTGGGAATATTGTTTTAATATATTTCAATTAAAATGGTTCGATGAGCTAATTGACCATTGTTGTGTTCTAATTTTTCTTTTTTTTTTTAAATCAAAAAATGGGGTTCAGTTCTACTTGTTGAGATTTGCCATAACCAATTTATAACAACCTTCACACGTAGGTTATAATTTTTCTTAGTATTTGTTTGGAGCTTCCGACCAGCCATAACATTTTGTTGTACTTATTTTAATGTTTTTTGACAACAATGAAATTCTGTTCTGTTTAAGTGCTGCACTTTGTTTCATCAAAAACATTTGCGGGAATACAATCGCAAACAACCCTGAACTTGAGCAAAAAAAAAAAAAAAAATCTCATCAGAAATAACAATTCATCTAATTAAAAGGAAGTTAGAACTTGTACAAATCAATAACATTTTTTTAAACATTTTTTTTTTGAATTATTGCACAAATGTCACCGATGTTATACATATGAGATAAACACTATTGCAGTGGCGTAATAACCTGCCGACAGATTTTTTTACTACGTTTTTACATTTATTGTATTTTTTTGTTTGCACACACGTGCCACCTACATACTTCATTTATATTATTAATGTATTTTTAATGTTCCTTTTTTCTCTTTCTTTTTTAATTACAGTTATGATATGGTCCATTTCGGTCATGCCAACTCTTTGCGACAAGCCAAAGCCCTTGGTGATAAAGTCATTGTTGGCATACACACCGATGAGGAGATTGCCAAACATAAAGGACCCCCAGTCTTTACCGAAGAGGAACGTGTCAAAATGGTCAAAGGTATCAAATGGGTGGATGAGGTCGTTTTGGGTGCACCTTATGTAACAACATTGGAGGTGCTCGATGAGCATAATTGTGATTTTTGTGTACATGGAGGTAAGGATATTTTTGAATATAAATTGAGAGAAACTGAAGTACTAATTTGATATCCTTTTTATTTTCCAGATGATATTACAATGACCGCTGAGGGTGTTGACACATATCATTTGGTAAAGAAGGCCAATAGATATAAGTAAGTATACAAAAATGGATCCAAAAAACATACTTTAAAAATTAAACATTTTGGTCTTAAACCAACCAATTGGTCTTTATAAAATCTTTCGGTCTCTATACAGCCCAATTGGTCTTTATAAAGACCTACGGTCTCTATACAGCCCAATTGGTCTTTATAAAGACCTACGGTCTCTATACAGCCCAATTGGTCTTTATAAAGACCTACGGTCTCTATACAGCCCAATTGGTCTTTATAAAGACCTACGGTCTCTATACAGCCCAATTGGTCTTTAAAAAAGACATACGGACTCTATACAGCTCAATTGGTCTTTATAAAAACCTTCGGTCTCTATACAGCCCAATTGGTCTTTATAAAGACCTTCGGTCTCTATACAGCCCAATTGGTCTTTATAAAGACCTACGGTCTCTATACAGCCCAATTGGTCTTTACAAAGACCTTCGGTCTCTATACCTACCAATTGGTCTTCATAAAGACCTACGGTCTCTATACCGACCAATTGGTCTTTAAAAAGACCTTCGGTCTCTATACCGACCAATTGGTATTTAAAAAGGCCTACGGTCTCTATACCCAACAATTGGTCTTCATAAAGACCTACGGTCTCTATACCCACCAATTGGTCTATAAAAAGACCTACGGTCTCTATACCCACCAATTGGTCTATAAAAAGACCTACGGTATCTACACCGACCAATTAGTCTTTAAAAAGATCTACGGTCTCTATACCGACCAATTGGTCTTTAAAAAGGCCAACGGTCTCTATACCGACCAATTGATCTTTATAAAGACCTACGGTCTCTATACAGCCAAATTGGTCTTTATAATGACCTTGGGTCTCTATACAGCCCAATTGGTCTATATAAAGACCATTGGTATCTATACAACCCAATTGGTCTATATAAAGACCATTGGTATCTATACAGCCCAATTGATCTATATGAAGACCTGTAGCCTTATATAAACCAATGGGTCTTTTTAAAAATCTGTGCTCTTCCAATTTTAAATTTAAAGTTAGAATTTGAGCAATTTATATTTTGCATTAAAATTTCAATAATGCATCCTTCGTCTAATATTTACCGTTCCCTTCTGTTGCTTTTTCCAGGGAAGTTAAACGTACAGCTGGTGTTTCGACAACAGATTTAGTTGGCCGCATGTTATTATTAACTAAAAATCATTTCCATCAGGGTTCCGCCGAATATGCCATAGAAAAAGAAGGTATGTTTGTTTTTGTCTAACTATGTAGTTTGTGTGTATGTGCGTTTTTAAGTAGAATATATTTGTTAGTAGTGAGTTGTAAGTATATATGCATAATGCTTATATTGAAAATAGACTATAGGGACTTGGGTGGTTGGCAGGTACAGTGCAACGAATCTCCCAATAGAGTCAGTACGCCCAATGCGTACTCGTGAGCAAAAAAGAAATAGAAATAAAACACAATACGTTTATGAATAAAAGGTTCGACCAATGCCGATATTTATTTGTTGGTAACGATATTACCTTTAATGTACAACAATATGTACGATGGCTTACTATTTAAGCGCTGGTGATCGATCACAACAATATGTGTGGCCAGTAGGTTACAACGAGAGTTAACCAAGTACTAATAATAACAATGTTTGTTGACATATAGATGCCTTAAGGTGGCGCAAACTCAAAAATGTAAACAAAGGCCGTTGAAATCTGTCAGCCTCATACTATTACAAGGGTGTAATAAAAAGGAGTAGACAGATTTCAACGGCTACGGCCTTTCAAATTAAAGGCTAACTATTTAACCATTTTAAATAGCATTCTCGCTTAAACATTTGCCGCCTCCCTTGAAACATCCATATGTTTTAACATATATATAATAAATTATAAATAACGGCATAGTGCAGGGTGAGCAAAACCTTTTACATTTTTTCATATATTTTTTCCAATTTTTTTTTTCATCATTTTTTTTACTTTTTTCAGATAACAAGCTTACATGCTAACGATAGGGCCATTAGGGACCCCGCGATTATATAGATCATCAATGACCTGTTGTTCGAATGGGCCATTAGGGACCCCGCGGTTGTGTGAGGCCAGAAAGGACCTGTGGTACGAAAGGGCCATTAGGGACCCCGCGAAACGATAGAGCCATGAAGGACCCCGCGAAACGAATGAGCCATTAGGGACCCCGCGAAACGAAAGGGCCATTAGGGACCCCGCGATATGTGAGCCAAGTTGTGTGATGTTTGTCGAGGGCCGCCTATTTTTTCGATTTCGTACGATTTACGAAACAATTATTTTATAGGACCAGTAATTATCCAGCCGAATTTTGTATTTTGAGCGAGCAGCGAACCAGATGAAAGTCGAAAATTTTGACTTTTTACGATTTGTGGATACAAGTCTGCTCCTATCAAAATATCTACTGGACGAGATTCGAGGAAGTCAGGATCTGCCAAAACTATATTTGACAAATCCGCGATTATATAGATCATCAATGACCTGTTGTTCGAATGGGCCATTAGGGACCCCGCGGTTGTGTGAGGCCAGAAAGGACCTGTGGTACGAAAGGGCCATTAGGGACCCCGCGAAACGATAGAGCCATGAAGGACCCCGCGAAACGAATGAGCCATTAGGGACCCCGCGAAACGAAAGGGCCATTAGGGACCCCGCGATATGTGAGCCAAGTTGTGTGATGTTTGTCGAGGGCCGCCTTACAACGATTTCGTACGATTTACGAAAAACAATTATTTTATAGGACCAGTAATTATCCAGCCGAATTTTGTATTTTGAGCGAGCAGCGAACCAGATGAAAGTCGAAAATTTTGACTTTTTACGATTTGTGGATACAAGTCTGCTCCTATCAAAATATCTACTGGACGAGATTCGAGGAAGTCAGGATCTGCCAAAACTATATTTGACAAATCCGATTTAAGGTCCGAAGTAACCGAAGATGTTGGAAGATTTCCCGATATGGAATCTACAACCAGTGCTGACGTTTCCAAACTGTGTGACCTATTAGAACGACTGCCAAGTTTCAACGAGCACATTTTTCGACATGTAGTAGCGACAGTACAATTTACTCCGCGAATTGTCGAAATTGTGGATTTGACCGGTAGGTTCAATTTCTTCTGAAGTCGTTCGGAAATTAAAGACGACTCAGAAGCCGGATCTATTAGCGCTCGAGCAGGATAACAAGCACCATGTTTAACAATATTGACCATGGCTGTCCCCAATAGAACTGCTTTGTTCTGCGTGGTGTGAAAGGTCTGTCGGATAGCAGTGCCGACCGATGCGGGTGGATTAATCACAGTGGAACAAGGCGAACGATTATTATTAAGATTTAAATTGCGTGATCGAAAAGGTGGTGCCGAAGACGATAAATTAGAATTTATAGGAGTCACCATCTGACTCGGAGTGCTCACTATAGAGCTATCTCTGTGCAATAGAGTATGATGTCTCTGATTGCACTTTCGACAAGTACGACTATTACAATTTTTGACTTCGTGTCCCCTACGAAGACAATTTACACACAAACGATGCTTTTTTACTAATTTAAATCTATCGGCAGGTGTACAATTTAAAAACCGATAGCAATAATATAGTGTATGTTGCTCTGAACAAAGAACGCAACAAGAATCAGAGGACGAACGAGGAGTAGAAGTTGCACATGGAGATGAAAAGGAACTTTTTCTTTTCTTCGATTTTGACACAGTGTTAACATTTCTCATTTCATGCAAACACAGAAGAGTACGAATTCTCTCTGTCAAGAATGCATCTAAGTCTTTCCAAGATGAAAGAGACGATTTGGATTTAACACTTTGCTCCCATAAAGCATGTGTCAATTTAGGCAATTTTTGTAAACAAATGAATACCACAATCGGATCCCAATTATCCGTAGGTATGTCATAGATTGCCATTGCGGAAAGACAACTATTAATTCCGCGTTGAAGTGACTTAAGTCCTGAACTACTTTCCTGATCCAGCACAGGAAGACCGAACAAAGTCTTTAAATGGCTATGTACAATCAAACGTGGATTATTATAAGTGGAATTCAAGGCATTCCACGCAGGTTCAAAACTCCGATGAGTTAAAGGAAATTTCGAGACGATTTCTCGAGCCTCACCACTAGTTTTACTCACCAGATGACATAGACGCTCAATGTCTGTCAATCGGGAGTTATTAATATATACCGCACTAAACAAATCTCTGAAAGTGGGCCAATCAAGAATATTTCCACTGAAAATATCGATATTGCAAGGAGGAATCGCAAGGTTATGAAAGTTATCGACATTAGAAGAATCAACAATAATGCTTTGACCTATTCTAGTATGCCCAATATTCAATGTTGTGGAGCTAGATGTCTGCATTCCCACATCACAAGAAGTGCGGGACGATGAGCTCAAATTATTAACGGAGGCATCGACTGACGGCTTTCCCGGAAGAATATTATCGGGATGCACCGCTACTGAAACAACTGAATTGCTCGAAGAAGAATTCAGGGATGATTTATTAGATTTTCTGATATTAGATAACAACCTATTTATAACTGATGAACAATGCATATATTCTTTTGACGAGACCGCATACTGGCTATACAATGAATCGAGATCTTCAGGATTTTCTACGTGGGAGAGACAATTATTAAAAGTTTCCTCGACAGATTTCCACAATTTTTTAATTTCTTCACTCCTAACCTCAAGATCATATATATCTAATTCTTCTTCCTTCAATGCACCGAAGTGTGCAGTGAATCTCACAATAGAGGTGGAAGCACGGATAAATAAATTCATAGGGGTGAAAGCCATTTTATAAATTTAACCAAAAATTTGAAACAATTATAAGTTCAGGACAACTCAGTGGAACACACAAGAAATATTAAAATCAAATAAAATAATACAAACAGGATGAAGACTTGCACTTTCAAATTAAATTTCAAAAATTATTCCAGAGGGAACGAAATTTCCCAAAAATTTAATATTATAAGACGAATTAGCGAATCAGAATACGAAAAGGTAATTTATCTCTATAGCTTTCAGTAAAATCTAGTTTGAATATCTTCACAAATCAAATATGAGTTATATAAATTACCGTATAATGGTGCAAAAAATATACAAAAATCTCTGATAAAATTTACGAAAATCAACAACAACGAAAATAAACTACCAATTGTAGCTAAACAGCTTTAAATCACCGATTGTAGGGTGCACTGGATTTTAAAATGTCCAAAATTATGTAAATATTATTCCCTGACACAAATATTATATTTACCATAACATATAATAATGTGTGTCACTGTCCTAATATACCAGCCGGGGACTGTGTAATAATACACTGGCCGGAGACCGTGCAATAAAACGGACACAACAGAAAAGGGAATATGCGAAAATGTAATATGTATGCTTACATACGTGTGTATATTTATTTGCATGCAAGCGACTGGCTGACCAACTAGCCAGAACAACAAAGCGACGATGCTGGAGTATGTAACTATACGTGCGTGTGTTAATCAACAAATAGGTAGCCACGAATAGGCTGTAAACGTACGTATGTCACACGCGTATATATGAATATATTTTTGTGTATTTTTGCAGTAGATGATATGCAAAATAAAAGATCAATAGAAATGGAATAAAAGCGAAGTTCTTCAACGAATTTTACAAGAACAAATTAAAGAAAGTAAACGATATTTTCTCTACGACTTTAGAGAAAAACAAAAAGTAACCAAATGTAAAGAAGAATTGTCACTTTTTGTTTTGGTACAAATATTTCCGTATGCCTGTCCGCGAATGGACTTTGACCGATCGTCAACAAAAGGAGGGAATCCGTGACGCGTTGTAACGACGGCCACACAAACAAACGAAACACTTTATTATTATTGTTTTTGCTCACTTGCACTATACGTACCAGTATTAATTAATTTAGGTGGACTGTATAAAATTCCAGATGTAGTCCGCTGGAATATCCGGTTCGATTGGACCAAATGTTAAGTCCGCACTATAGGGACTTGGGTGGTTGGCAGGTACAGTGCAACGAATCTCCCGATAGAGTCAGTACGCCCAATGCGTACTCGTGAGCAAAAATAAAGAGCAATAAAACACAATAGTTTTATTAAAAGGTTTGTCGACCAATGCCGATATTTATTTGTGGTAAACGATATTACCTGTAATGTACAACAATATGTACGATGGCTTACAATTTAAGCGCTGGTGATCGATCACAACAATATGTGTGGCCAGTTGGTTACAACGAAAGTTAACAAGTAATACTA